ACAGAAATTGAGGAGGTATATTTCAGCAAATAATTCCTATTGAATAAAGAAATGTATAGCGTATCGGTAGGTACACCTTAATATGTAATCAGTAGATAAGGATCATGCAACTGTTTGACAACTAATACTGAAATAATGCAGTTTGTTTGGTACTCTGGGGTGGACCTGTAAGCCTAGAAATAGAAGTGCTGCCATTGTTGACTTGTTGCTAAAAGGTGTAGACTGCAGGATATCACTCTGATGACCTTGTGAGTCACTGGCCTAGAACAAACATGTAGGATAGGAATAGCAGTGCCCGAGTTTCCAAATGGTCAGTCCATCCCTGCTCCTGCAGTACTAATTAAAAAGGCTCTTTGCAGGCCTGAAGTGCCAGGCTTGTTGACACAGAACATGAGAAGAATAGCTGTAGTTGCCTTGTCTCGTCTGACCTTCTGAAGGAAGGTCCTGGGAGCTTAAAGCCTTGAAGGCCTTGACAGAGTTCTCTGATGTGAGTAATGGTAGTATGCCAATGGGGAACATACCAGGCTGGGCAGAGCTATGGAAGGAACATTGTAAAGACACTATTATACTGAGAGTACCTTGATCTCTCCTGACCCTCAACTACAGGTCCTTTAACTTGGTGATGGAAGCTGAATGCTGTAAAATCACTATACACAGGGAAGAGGTTCCAATTCTGGGGTGCTCCCAAGGAGAGGAATGGAGGTGTAGAGGGAAGATGGCTTAAAAGATGTGCTTGCGTTCTGCACTAAAATGACTGCTGCAGAACCTTGCACGTGGCATTCCATGCTGAAGGTTCTGCTAGTATGTCAATGTAACTTGTCACAGAACATTTACAGTACAGTGCAGAATATAGCATTTGTGCGTGGACATTCCTTTATTCTCTGATATTGAGACCAGGGATGTCATGAGCAGGCCTCAGACCAGGAGTATGACGCAATGTAGTGGAGAGCTGAACTCAATAACAGGTGGGTGGTTGTCCTATCAGAGAAGAGCTTTTAGAGTTCGGTGCCAAGACCTGCCCAACCTCAGTCCTCCTTACATGCATTTCTAGTTCTCAAATGGAATGTGAATTACCATTCTCAAAGCATAGGGAATTGCGCATGAGAGTGTAAAGAAGCCATCTGATTATTATGCTTGTTTCACATTGTAACGGCTGAGATGTCCTTTGGGCCCTGATTACTTAATACCAGAGCTGCCAATAGAGAGGTACAGACAGCCCTCCTTTGGCCCCCCTGACCTGATAGGGGCTATTGCCTGTGGGCAGCTCAGAGTTCTCCGTCCCTCCACCCCTTGGCCCTTCCTTTCTCAATGCTTCATCACTCTCTGACTACAATTCCCAGAATCTCCCACTTGTGATGGGGGGGGGCACATCTGGTTGAAGCTCGCAATGTGGGAAGTATGGAGCTGTAAGCCATGCACAGAAGCACATGGCACTGAGACAACCATTTTAGAAGAGGGCTGGTGGGCAAACTCCAAGGTGAGGCCCTCTCCACAAATCCCATATTCAAGTGAGAGATGCAGGGGAGCAGAGTGTTGCAGTATTGAGGCACAGAGTGTAGGTGATGCACAGGGTGTAGTGATGGAGTATTGGGGATGCAGGGAGTACAGAGTGTTGGAGTACTGGGGTGCAAAATGTTGGAGTATTGAGATGCAGAGTTCAGGTGAAGCATGAAGTGCAAAGTGCTGGAGATATAGGGATACAGAGTGTTGGAGTATTTGAATACAGGGTGTTCAGATAAATGTGTAAATGGAGATGCAGAAGGTACAAAGTGCAGGGGGGGGATGTGCATGGGGAGATACTGGGGGCCTTGTCAGGTAGGATGTACAAGACAAACAACAAAAGAGAAAGTTCAATACAACAACTTTGCAAACAAACCAAAATTAACCTGTCGAACAGTAGGAATTAAAAACAGGGGTTTAGATAGCACACATTTGCAAATACATACGCAAGCTACAGAGCCACATCACTGCACCCAGATATTCTTTAGTCCTAACTACAAATTTGAGAGCCCCCATAGTATAGGCACATGTATTTAATGAATAGACCAGAGGGAGGTGAACCTGAGGGAGCCCACCAGACACCCAGCATGTAGCACAATGGCAGCTAGGGTGTCCAGTGCACCTTCTCACCAACAATTCAGCAGTACAAAAAAAAATGGCCACTGCCCCAGTCTATAACTGGCCTTCACAGAAAGGAACACATGGACAGGCAACGCATGTCAAACAACAAAAAGAGAAAAAAAAAAGTTCCCAGTTCAACCTGCCAGCCAGCTTGCAAACAAACAGAATTAACCTGTCTAACAGAATGCATTAAAAACAGGGATTAGTTAGCACACATTTGAAAATACATGCGTAAGCCACATCACAGCACCCCAATATTCTGTAATTTTAACTCTACAAATTGTGAGAGCCCCCATAGTAGAGGCACATGTATTTAATGAATAGACCAAGAACAGGTGGACCTGAGGGAGCCCACCCCTCCTTAAAAGGTACAGGAGCACACCAGACACCCAGCATGTAGCACAATGGCAGCTATGGTGTCCATTGCACCCCTTCACCAACAATTCAACAGTACAAAAAATGGCCACCGCCCCAGTCTATAAGTGGCCTTCACAGCAAGGAACACATGTCAAACAACAAAAGAGAAAAAAAGTTCCCAGCTCAACTTTCAAACAAACCAAATTAACCTAACAGTATGCAATAAAAATAATTTTCATTAGCACACATTTGCACATACATACACTGCATCACCAAGATCTACTGTAGTCCTAACTCTACAAATTGTGTGTAGAGGCACATGTATTAAAGGATAGACCAAGGGAGCCCACCCCTCCTTAAAGGTACAGGAACGCACCGGACACCCAGCATGAAGCACAATGGCAGCTAGGGTGTCCAGTGCGCCCCCTCACCAACAAATCCGTAGAGTTAGAACTATGCAGAATATCGGGGTGCTGTGATGTGGCTCTGTAGCTTACGTATGTATTTGCAAATGTGTGCTAATGAAACCCTTGTTTTTAATGCATACTGTTAGGTTAATTCTGTTTGTTTACAAGCTGGCTGGCAAGTTGAGCTGGGAACTTTTCTCTTTTGTTGTTTGACATGCGTCGCCCGTCCATGTGTTCCTTGCTGTGAAGGCCAGTTATAGACTGGGGCAGTGGCCATTTTTTGTACTGTTGAATTGTTGGTGAAGGGGCGCACTGGACACCCTAGCTGCCATAGTGCTACATGTTGGGTGTCTGGTGCGCTCCTCTGCCTTTAAGAGGGGTGGGTTCCCTCTGGTTCACCTGCCCGTGGTCTATCGTGTGGGCCACGTTTTGTGCAGGCGTGAGAGCCCATCCATTTGAATGGACTACCGTGCCCTGTGGCAAACAGGGTAGAAGTCCCTGCACTTCTTCTGAAAAACGCAGCCCGCACGGGAACCTTGGTCATTAGAACTAATGGCACCTGCCCGTGGGTCTGCATTCCTCTGTGTGGGTGGTGCGGCTACACGGATTTTCTTGTGGATCCGCAGCGGGCACCACCCACACAGATGTGAACCTAGACTAAATACATGTGCCTCTACTATGGGGGCTCTCAAAATTTGTAGACTTAGGACTACAGAATATCGGGGTGCTGTGATGAGGATCTGTAGTTTACGTACATATTTGCAAATGTGTGCTAATGAAACCCCTGTTTTTAACACATATTGTTAGGTTTAATTCGGTTTGTTTGCAGGCTGACTGGCACATTGAGCTCAGAGCTTTTCTCTTTTGTTGTTTGACATGCGGCGCCCTTCCATGTGTTCCTTGCTGTGAAGGTCAGATATAGACTGGGGCAGTGGCCATTTTTTGTAAGGATGTACAAGACCCCATGTTTTCTAATGGTGGCCCTGCTTACTACACTGCACTGGGCCTATTTTCAGGGATGGCTTTATATCAGTATCTAAGGCTGGCCATACACCATATTCTGTTCAATTTCTGCCCAATTTCCTTTAGATTTACCTTCAACTATGTAGTGCAAGGGCCTGCTTAATTGGATACAATTGAAAGTGTTGTTTAGGTTTGACCTCATATTATATGGTTTTTGGTAAATCTAAAGAAAGTTGTATAATGTATGGCCAGCCTAAGACAGAATTTAGTAGATTGCTGAGCAAATAAAAAATCGGTGCAACAGAGGAGCCCAGTGACTACAGACATTATTAGGACAATTACAGCTCCTGTCTACCTATCTCTGGATTCAAGGCAAGACTCCCTATTTCAAGCTGGACTCACAGTACACACTATGTGCACTAATTTTAGGTTCACATTGCTCTGAGCATTTTGTACACACATGGTGCTAAAACCACTTGCTAAAAAATAAAAAACTTCATGTAAAAACTTGAATCTTCATAGACGTGAAACTTTTATATCAAGGAATGCTGACAGCTTTGTTCAATATTTTTAGAATTTGGGATGGAAAAGGATGTGGGTTTTCTGGTAGATCATAGGCTCAGCAACAGCATACCCAGTTCTGGTAATCGATCCTCTGGAAGGATGTCCTTGAACTGGAGACATTCTAGAGAAGGGCAATAAAACTAATAAGGGCTGAAGGACATCAGTTATGAGGAACGACTACAAACATTAACCACTAGCCTACAGGGCACTTATACCCCCTTCCTGCCCAGGCCAGCTTTCAGCTGCTGCATTTTGAATGACAATTGCGCAGTGATGCAACACTGTACCCATATGAAATTTTTAGCATTTTTTTGAGACAGATAGAGCTTTATTTTGGTGATATATTTAATCACCTCTGGGTTTTTATTTTTTGCTAAACAAATCCAAAACTACTGAAAATTTTGAAAAAAAAAAAGTTTTTTCCTAGTTTTTGTTATAACATTTTGTAAGTATGTGATTTTTCTCCTTCACTGATGTGCGGTAATGAGGCTGCAGAGATGAGCACTGATAGGTGGCACTGATGGGGAGGCACTAGTAGGTGGCACTGATGGGCATTGACAGGCATCACTGATGGGCACTGAAAGGCAGCACTCATATATGGCACTGATAGGCGGCACTGATAGGTGGCACTGACTGGCACTGTTTGGTGGCACTGACTGGCACTGTTAGGTGGTACTGACTAGCACTGTTAGGCAGCACTGACTGGCACTGATAGGCAGCACTGACTGGCACTGATTGGCAGCACTGATAGGTGGCACTGACTGGCATTGATAGGTGGCACTGACTGGCACTGATAGGTGACACTGAAAGGCAGCTCAGATGGGCACTGATATGTGGCATTGATGTTCACTGGTAGGCACTGATATGTGGCATTGATGTGCACTGGTAGGCACTGATATGTGGCATTGATGAGGCACTGATGGACACATGGCAGGTGGCACTCCTGGGGCAACACTGATCATCAGGGCACACTGGTCATCAGTGACCTGATGATCAGTGTACATGTCCCCTACGAGAAATGCCGATTACCGGCTCTCCTCTCCTCTGTCAGCGTGACAGCTCGAGAGGAGATAAATGCCGATAACCGGCATTTCCCTATTTACATGTGATCAGCTGTGATTGGACACAGCTGATCACATGACCGAGCTGACATCTTCTCAGCTCTTTCCGTTGATTGGCGATCCGCTGTGTCCGAGGTACACAGCACACCACAGATCGCCGCGCTGCGCGCTCCCTGAGCCACGCATGTGCGGTTAAGTGGGAGGATGTCATATGACGTCCTCCCAGAACGAGAGAACCGCCTTGCGCCCGTCATTTCCTTATATGGCGGGCGGAAGGCGGTTAAACTTGTTCTCCCTGTTGGGGGAGGAAACTATATAACCTAAGGCCTCTTCGGAAGACGTGCAGCCAAACAATGAAGTTGACGGTACAATCTCCAACTGTGTGAGGGGGTTCTTTACCGAGCAGTAAGGATGCAGAACTCCCTTCCACAGTTGGTGGTGTCAGTGGGGAGTATAGATAACATTTTAAAAATATAGTAGTCACACGCATTCAGATTGAACTGGATAGGCTGGCGTCTTTATTCAACATTACCAGCTATGACTATGACCTCTCTTTAACTTCATTTAACCACATAAATCAATGCCTCTTGTGGTTGGACATTGCACGTATCAGGTCACGTGTACAGAAGATGAAAATGTAATTAATTATGTCACAATTTGTCACTTATAGCATGGAGCTGTTAATATTTAACTGACATCAGTTAAGTCGTTGTGATTGAATCACTTGTACACAAAGGAGCTGCTTGCATAAGCGCTTTGCTTTAAGTGTTCTCCAGCATACTGTAAATTTGCCAGATTTATCACTGGATTATCCTATAGAAAGAGTATAGAAAAAAATATGCTATATGAAATCTCTAGACACAACTGATATACAAAAATATTGCTTACTGATGATCGGCACCACTGGACATATACAGTATAGGTGTTAATATGAAATACAAGGGGGGGGAGCAGCTATCTAGTCCTTGAAATCCAAGGTATTAAAGCACAATTAATAGAACAGCGCTCCTCAACACCTTATCTTATAGCATAAATATGCAGACTATCCAGGGGCGGACTGACAACTCATGGGGCCCCCAGGCAATAGGGGATCATGGGGCCCCCCGTGTCCTTGCCCAAACTCAAAAAAGCCTATGAAAAAGGTACCAGGGGCATCTCATGGGGCCCCCTACTGACCCTGGGGCCTCGGGCAGTGCCCGAGTTTCCAAATGGTCAGTCCGCCCCTGAGACTATCTTTATATGTCAAATAATGAAAAACAAATATAAATAAATAAAAAATCTCTAATGTGCAAAAAAATAATTTTTGACCATTAACTGCTTGGGAACCGTCCACAGTACTTTTACTGTGGCAGGGCAGTCCCTGCGTGCAGGATCACGTATATATATATGTGATCTTGCATTTCCAGGTAGGGGGCGTGCACCTGCCCTATCCGTGCTGTCGATAGCGGCCCCGGGTGTCATGATTTGTTACTGTATTGTCTCCGGGTTATAATGTTAACCCCTTCCTCCCCGGTCACATTAGTATAGTGTCAGTGATTTTTTTTTTTTGCACTGATCACTGTATTGGTGTCACTGAGAATATCAGTGACACCAAGTCAGTTCCCCCCAGTGTCAGAATGTCCGCTGCAGTCCCGCTATAAGTCGCTAATTGCCGTCATAAGTCACTGATTGCCGTCATTATTAGTATTTTAAAAAAAAAAAATTCCAGTATCCATACCACCATTTGTAAACGCTATAACTTTCACGTAAACCAATTAATTTACAAATATTGTGATTTTTTTTTTTTTTGCAAAGACATGTCGAGGAATACATTTTGGCCTAAATTTATGACGAAATTTGATTTTTAATTTTTTTTTTACTGGACATGTTTTATAGCAAAAAGTCAAAAATATCGATTTTTTTTTTTTTTTCTCAAAATTGTCAGCCATTTTTTTTTTTTATAGCGCAAAAAATAAAAACCACACAGGCGAACAAATACCACCTAAAGAAAGCTCAATTCATGTGAAAAAAAGACATAAATTTAATTTTGGTGCAGTGTTGCATGACCGTGCAATTGTCACTTAAAGTAACGCAGCACCGTAACATAAACCGTTTCTGTAACTACTTCCTGAGTGCCCTATTGCAGAAATACTGTAACAGGGCAGCACGGGTGCGCAAAATCACATATATAAATGTGGTTTTCACGCCCCTCCCAGATAGCATAAGATTGCCCGTCAGTACACCAGTCATCACATTTAACCCCTCAATTGCCAGGAACACGCTCATACACAATAAACCTTCATTGCTAGTATAGTGTCTGAATGGATCAATATCTTTGATCAGATCAGCAGATCAGCACTATACCAGCATTCACATTAGTGTAGCGTCCCCAAAACCGCAGCGTTAGCGGGATCAGCCCCGGCATTGCATGACCGCAGGGGTGGACTGACCATTTGGAAACCCAGGCACTGCCCGAGGGCCCGGGGTCAGTAGGGGGCCCCATGAGATGCCCCTGGTACCTTTTTCATAGGCTTTTTTGAGTTTGGGCAAGGACACAGGGGCCCCATGATCCCCTATTGCCCGGGGGCCACATGAGTTGTCAGTCCGCCCCTGCATGACCGTGTAATTATTAGTTGAAATAGTGCAGCGCCGAATAGCAAAAAGAGGCCTGGTCAGGAAGGGGGGAAATCCTCAGGATGGCAAGTGCTTAAACCATATGTGTCTTAAAACACCACCACACCATGTTCATCCACCACCGAACAAATTGAATAAACTCACCAGAGCTCCATGCTGGTAATGTTATAAACCAGCTAATGCGCAATGGCTTTGGGAGCAACGATCTGCAGAGATGCCAAATAACTCTTACAACTCCTTAACTGGATACTCCTTGTATATATGTATGGAACCACATGGGAGGAAAGTAAGAGGAAGCTTCATAGCGTAAAACATTAAAATGCTTTATTCCATTAAAAGATATATATCGCACTCACAATATAAAGTGTGATCGCCGACACTAGCATAAACCACATATATTCTTTTTAAAACGGTTAACTCTGGTCTCGGAAAAAACACCAGCAGCTCACCCGTACGTGGTGACATCACCTCAGAGACCCCCGCCCTACTTGTTTCATCATTCAACGTCCTCCAGGAGCGGAAGTCAGCTGATATACAGCTGTAATTCCAAAAAGGTTGGGATGCTGTGTAAAATTTACACATAGAAACAGCAATTTTTGATTTCAAAATCTCATAAACACATATTTTATTCCCAATAGAAATTAAATCAAATATTTAAACTGAGAAAATGTACACTTTTAAGAAAAAAAAAACCTAAACTGGTAATTTTGAAATGAATGGCATCAACACATCTCACAAAAAAACAGTTGGGACATGTCTCAAAAAAGTTGGGACAGGACAACAAAAAGCTGGCAAAGTAAGTGTTACTAACAAGGAAGAGCTGGTAAGAAAGGCAGGTGAGTCATTTTGCCGCTACAGTAATTAGAATCGGCAACAGGTCAGGAGCCACATTGGCAGGTCAGTAACATGATTGGGTATAATAAGAGCATCTTAGAGAGTCAGAGTGTCTTAGAAATAAAGATGGGCAGAGGTTCACCAATCTGTTAAAAGCATCTCTAACAATTGTCAAATAATGTTCTTCAGCATAAAATTGAAGACTTTAAATATTCTGTCATCATCTACAGAAAATAATATAATCAAAAGAATGCAGAGAATCTCTGTATGCAAGGGACAAGGTGAAACGCAATGTTGGATGACCGTGATCTTCGGGCATGATTCTGTGATGGACATCACTGGGCTCAGGAATACTTCCAAAAATCACAGTTCACCATGCCATACAAAAATGCAAGGTAAAACTCAATCATTCAAAGAAGACCTCATATCTGAACATGATCCAGAAACACTGGTCTTCTCTGGGCCAAAGCTCATTTAATATGGTTTTTTTTTTTTCACAGTGGAAAACTCTTCTGTGGTTGAAATTTGACATTCTTTTTGTCAACCATGGGTTCCCCTCGACTAAAGAAGAGAGGGACCTTCTGGCTTGTTATCAGAACTCAGTTCAAAAGCCTGCATCTCTGATGGGGAGCATTCATGCATATGGAACGGGCAGCTTGCACATCTAGAAAGGCGTCATCAATGCTGAAGGATATCAAGGTTTCAAAGCAGCATATGCTGCTCAAATCAAAAGTCAAAATTACCTTTTTTTTTTAACCACTTGACCTCCAGAGGATTTACCCCCCTTAATGACCACGCCTCTTTTTGCTACTCGGCGCTGAACTAATTCAACTGATAATTGCGCGGTCATGCAATGCTGCACCCAAACAAAATTTACGTCCTTTTTTTCACACAAATAGAGCTTTCTTTTGGTGTAATTTGATCACCTGTGCGCTTTTTATTTTTCACGCTATAAACAAAAAAAAGGGCCAAAAATTTTGAAGAACAACACTATTTTTTGTTTTCAGCTATAAAAAATATATAGTAAACTGAAAGTTGGTTATAAATTTAGGCCAAAATTTATTCTGCTCCACGTTTTTGGTAAAAAAAATCCCAATAAGTGTATATTGATTGCTTTGTGTGGAAGTTATAGCGTCTACAATCTATGGTATAAATACTGCAATTTACGCCATTTTTCTGCTATACAGCGCTGCGCTAGTTTAACGGACAATTGCACGGTCATGCAATATGGTACATAAATGAAATTTACATCCTTTTTTTTCCCCACAAATTGAGCTTTCTTTCGGTGGTATTTGATTGCCTGTGTGATTTTTTTATTTTTTGCGCTATAAAAAAAAAAGGCTGACAATTTTGATGAAAAAAAAAAAACAATATTTTGGACTTTTTGCTATAAAACATATCCAGTAAAAAAAATGCAAAAATCAAATTTAGTCATAAATTTCTGCCAAAATGCATTCTGCGACATGTCTTTGCTAAAAAAAAACCCCAATACGTGTAAATTAATTGGTTTACGTGAAAGTTATAGCGTTTACAAATGGCGGGAAAGATACTGGAATTTTTAGGGTTTTTTTTATACTAATAATGGCAGCGATCAGCGACTTATGGCGGCGATCAGGGACTTATGGCAGGACTGAGGGACTGCGGTGGACA